GTGGAATCTACAAAATATAAAATAAAATAAAAACAAGCACAAATTGAATCTCAATAAAATTTCATCCAGAGTCACTTGCGTTCAGAATTTGAATTGGTAGTCGAGGTAGTCCTACAAACTGAATCATATTTAAACTATCTTATAATTGTTTAGAAAATGATGACTATTCAAGACTTTAGAATTCTAGGAGATGGAACTTTTTATTGCATTTTATTCCATTCTCGCTCTTCTTTAAAAAATCCAATCATTTTATAATCATATGCTTGTTGTAGAGGGATTTGAGACAGTTAGCATTAACCTCTAGTCCTAGGTTTCATTTTATCTAGAACTCTTAATGCAGTTTATGTCTACTAAACAAGTATGATTTCAACATTAAGATATCATAATTTCATGGATATTATTTCACCACCTATTATTGATCTGATGTATTTCACCACTTTTAGTCAATAGCTTCGAAATTTACAAACTGAATAAATGCCATTTGTATATGTAAAAACTACTGAATTCCAATAACTATTTCACTGTAACATAAACTACTAAAAATAATGGAAAGGAGTCTATTATGTTTAAACAAAATACTCCACACCTTAACTTTATATACCTACAGCCTGAGATTTTACAAATTATATATATATATATATATATATATATATATATAATTTTATAAGGTCCTAATGCTAGTTCTGTTGAACTAGTAAAGTGTGCCAATGTATTTTTGCGCTCAAGTCAAGAGAACTTAGTGCAACAAAGTAAAAAGTGACCATCTAGCGAAATGAAAGAACACTATTCATAATGGAGTTATTACTAGTAGCCTACAGAAATGCATAATATCATTTAAACACTTTTTGGTTTGCTGACTATGAGTGTACTTTGTTTTCAATCAGTTGTTCTCTCCTTTATATAACAGTTGAAAAGTAAAAATTGGCACTCTGCCGTTCATTCTGAATGTAATTCAGGATCACTAGAATCAAATGAATTTCCTTTTCTAAATTTCATGAACAACCATTAAAACATAGGATTAAGACGCCGCTGAGATTTCCCTAAGTCCAACTACTTTCAGCTTATAAAGGTAAATGTGTTTTAAACCAAAAGTAGATCACTAATTTCCTTCGGTTACATCTAGTTTCACTTACGAATAATGGAGTAAGACCTAAGATGACTATTTCCACCATGTTTTCTGATCATGTTTTTCGAAACCTGTGTCATCAAGGAAGGAAATATTTAATAGATACAATCGTTGGACACTTACTGGATAGGGTACATCAGATGGATATCGATTGGGGATTCAGATTAAATAAGAAATAATGAACATTGACCACTGACTTTTTTTCGTTAACTACATCTGAATTGTCACCTACTAATGTAAACCATTACATTTATTTTAATTGCCTGTACCTTCCCTACTTTCTAACAAGATTTCCCATAAGTAAGCATCAATCTCCGCTACAATGTTTAGTGTCGCTTCTTCAAATTTATTGCTTTCATTTTGTTTGGTTTTGAACTTCCGTTCCATTAAGGATAATACCACAGACTCTTGTAACAAACCACGTTTACTTCAAACGCTATCGCAATATCAACTTAGTCCAGATAGTCAATAACATGTGCAATAGGGTGAATTTACAATTCTTTTTTCTATTGATTGCTTGACACTGACCAATTGCAGTCCTAAGCATCGATCGGAAGATTCAAACAACCAATACAAAAATGAATTATGTTTTCTATGATTTATTTCCTACTAATATCGTCACTACATTGGCATTGTCTTGATAATTTTAACATACTGTGCTGCGGCAGCTTGAAATGACGCAAGTATGTCCGACTTTATGTTGCTTATGACTCACTGGGATATACATCACTACGTGTTTATCGGATAGTCCATTATTAATTCAATGACAATTTGAAAGACAGTCGTGCCGGTATATCTAAATTGATTTATTTTAAGTAGTTTTCACTGAGCATGAAGATTTCAGAAAACATTTCAAAATTAATGACTGTTGAGAATGGACTTCAGTTATCTCTCTCTACCCTGAAAACAACACTACTAATACATATTTCCATCATACTGATGTTTCTTCCAAGACTTTCCACGCCCTATGCTTCCCAGCAGACCAAAAAATTTACTTGTAATCATTCTGACATCGATACACCTGTTACCTCTCGTGAAAAAGCATAGGCTACCCACCAGCACTCTCCATCCAACTCTGTTCTGGGCAATCCTTTCCAGTAGTTTACAGTTACTATTCATCCTCTTCATATCTGCTTTCAATTCTCAGTGCAGTGTGTTCTTCGACCTTCCTCTTTTCCATTTGCCTTCAGGATTCCAAGTTAGGGCTTGCTTCGAGATGCAATTTGGTGTTTTTTACAATATATATCATATCCGCTTTAACTGTCCCCTCCTAATTCCCTCTTCAGTTGGGAGTTGATTTGTTCTCTCCTACAGTAGGCTGTTGCTGATGATATTCGACCAACGGACATTCAGGAACTTGAGTAGAAAATTGTTTATAAATACCTGTACCTTTCTAATAATTGTTGTTGTAGTTATCCAAGTTTCAGCTCCATACAGTAGGACTGTCTCGACGTTCGTATTGAAGATTCTCACTCTGATATTGGTTGACAGTCGTTTTGAGTCCCTTTTGTTCTTCAACTGTAAGAATGCTGCCCCTACTTTGACAATCCTTGCCCTTACGTCTGCATCAGATCCTCCACGTCCATCGATGAAACTACCCAGATACGTGAAAGATTCTGCATTTTCCAGAGCTTCTCCATCAAGTGTGCTTGGTTTGGTGTTCACCGTACTGTACTTGAGGATCTTGCTTTTTCCTTTGTGTGCAGAGGCTGCTGTTACACTGGCAGTCTTCACCTGCATTTGTTGTCGTGCGTGGAATAGAAGGGCCAAGTCATCTCCGAAATACAAATCTTCTAATTGATTCCGAGCGATCCATTGTATTCAGTGTGTCCTCTTCAATGCCGACGTTTTCATAATCCAGTCAACCACCAGAAAAGAGTGGGGGAGAGTAGACAGCCTTGTTTGACTCCGGTCCTTACTTAGAATGCATCTCTCAACTGTCCTCCATGTACCACCTTGCAGTGTAGTTTGTTGTATGAATTCCGGATGGTGTTGACAATTTTCCCAGCTACTAACACCATAGTGTCGAACAAGTTCCCATAGGATCCTCCTGTTCACACTGTCAAACACCTCATAGTCCATGAAGTTGATGTATAGTGACGAGTTCCACTCGACCGACTGTTCAACAATGATCCGTAGTATCGCAGTTCGGTCTGTGCACGACCGATCCTTACGGAATCCAGCCTGTTGATCTCGAAGCTGGACGTTACTGAGTCGTTCATCTGGTTCGGTAACACTCTGTTGAAGACTTCCTGGTACTGATAGTAGTGTGATGCCTCTGTAGTTCTCACGTCTCCTTTCTTTGGTATTTTGATGAGGTGTCCTTCTTCCCAGTCAGTCGGCACTTGTTCCTCCTCCCAACATTTACTGAATAGGGCGTGGAGCATACTTGCAGTTACTTTTATGTCCGACTTCAGTGCTTCAGCCGGCATATTATCAGGTCCTGCTGCTTTCACATTATTTTTCTGACGGCCATCCCGATTTCTTCGATAGTTGATAGAGTGACATCTGTTGGCGCTGATTCGATTTCCGGTGGGTTTAGTGGAGCTTGCCTATTCAAGAGTTCTTCATGTTGTTCTCCTAATCTGTTGCTCTGTTCTTAAATCTGGGTGATTGGCTTACCTTCTTTGTCCTCGACTGGTCTTTCTGGTTTCCCATACTTCTTGCTAGTTACACTTCGTTGTGTTATATAGTTGTCTCATAGTTCCTTCTCTTACAGCTTTTTCTGCTGTCGCTTCCATGTATTTCTGCTTGTCGGCTCCAGTGAACCTCTTCACCCTCTTGTTAGCTTCTGTGTATCCGGCCTCTGCCTTGTCTTTCTCTGTCCTAGTTCGACAGTTGTTGATTGCTATCCTTTTGTTCTTCCTTTCCTGAATCTTGTCCAGTGTTTATGATGATGCTTGTTGCAGCCCAGCACCTACTGACACGTTGATGTTAATTCATCTTTGATTCTTTTCAAATCATCCTCCATCGTAGTTTCTTATTTTTTCAGTAGATCCTGTAATGTTTGGAACCTGTTGTTGAGAGTTATCTTAAATTCGTTGAGTTTGTTAGTATCTCGTAGAAAGGCTGTATTGAACTGCTGTTTCCCCAGCTGTCCACTGTTTCATCTTGGTCATAACCAGCTCCTCTCCTGGTTCCCACGTCTTCCATTATCCTTCTGAAATTTTATTGATACAAATATGATCTATCTGGTTCTCCATGGTGTAATCATTCTGACTACCTAGAAAAAAGACGATGTGTTACAATCAATGTTCTACTTGACTTTTAACCATTAGTTAGCAGGCTCAAACCACACCACCTAATCTAATTCGAGCAACTAGGTAACATTTCCCGATTTAGCACAAAACGTATGACTTACGACCGAGTACATATATATGTAAAATTCATCAATTAATTGCATTTATAATAAATTTATTGAGCTGCATGCATATCTGAAGATTGCAACAAAAACGCTAACATGACCGGGAAATGAAATGTATATTATTCTTCCAGATGTATATTGACTATAAATAAACCTAGTTATTTTAAACTAAGTACTGTTTTGAACACAAACACCCACACTGAAGCAGTATAACACTACTGAAGTTGGAAAATTACATAGTGTAAATGAAGAGAAAAGAAACAATAGACCACATTGAAGGGAATATGAGAGAAAAAAAGGACGGGTAACAACATTTCTATGTATGAAGTGGAAAGTCAAAGAAAGATTTAGGTTCGAAACAATGGAGTAAACAATCTCTTTAAGGATGTGTTGTTCCAGATATTACGGAAAAATGAAAATAGATTATTAGAGATAAAAGCCAAAAGATGTAGGCTGTCAAGAATAATTATGTAAATTACTTGATGGAGGAAATATAACCACTATCATAGTTCATTTAGGTGTATATTTAGCTGCAAATTCTTTGCCTTTCTTAATATTTGCTTTTAGCTCTGGGATGAGTTTTTTAAGTAACTCAATTTCATATTCATTTAATTTTCCAATACCCATATTCTTTTCAACACCTTCAGCCTAGAATTGGAATGGGAGAAAAGTAACGCTAATTAATTATAAAGAAAACATATTATGAGATTTTACCATGAAATGGTTTAACAGTTGAGCACAAAGTGGATTTCACAAACTTGTCAAAACACTAATCACCAGTCCGAAAAGAAATGTAACCAAAGTTTAAATGACAATATTTAAACATGTATAGTTAAGCTATCTGATAGCCTAGAAATCTGATTGTTGATGATTTAATTACAGAATATCTTTGAAGATACATGTAAGCCACAAAACACTTCTATTTCATTAGCCATGTTTCACACCCATAGATTAATATAGAGAACTGTTGTTGTCTATGCTTGCCCTCTGAATGAATAAATGCCAAAGTAATAGAAATTACCAAAAGCCAGAAGAATCTTTTGTATTCGTCACAGGATTCTGTCAACTACCAAACACATTAGGGCTAGTAGAACTCTAAGGACAAGTGATGCGAACAACATGCTAAACCAACTTCTCGTCTATTGTCGAACTATGGGATGGTGAGAATTGGTTTTGAATAGACAGGTTGAACTGATCTACGTTGTTATTTAATACTTTACCCTGAGTCCCAATAACAAAATACGAAGCACTGTATACCCATCCCTTTTTAGTGAATGATATGTATCCGAAATGTTTGGTAGCGTCGAGATTTTTCTAAAATCTGTAACCCAGTACAGAATGTGAGTTCTAGTTAGGTTTTATTAATATATTTTTCTTCAATACCAAAAGAGTACAGAAACAGTTATGCATTACCTTGTACAAGTATTGTCTGATGACTCGATAGGTTTGTTTAATATTACGGTTGTATTACTAGCATAAGGTGATTAGATCATCAAATATATCACCGAGAATCACAATAAAAGCATAAGAGCGTTAACTTACACCAAGTGCAAGAGGAGTTGAAAAAAATTCACATTCTGTAACATCTGATTCTACAAAAGCACACTCCACCACGCCAGCTCGACCACTCATGGCTTCTAAAAGTGAGACAGCGAATCTTACTCCAGCATAAGCCATTGATAAAGTAGCAGAACCCTAAAATGATGAAAAACATGAGTAATATTGTAGTTACGTAATTAATTATCACACTTCAGCGAAGTGGCCGTAACAACAAAGGTTAACAAATGCCAACGATATAACGTTGCTGAGTTTTCACCAATAATCATTTATATTTGAGCAACATATTAGTTCGATAAGTTGACTTTAATTGTTAACTATTTCGATGTCTAACGAAAAATATGGTAATGGAAGTGCAACCAAATATACTTGTCAACACCGTAGACCCACCAATAAGCTGAAATTACTTTTAAGAGACAAAAATTTGAAAATCCCAAGATTTAAAGATGTGTTCACAATTTGATGGCTGCGTTCACTAAAACTCTTGAGGCAATAATTTGAAAACCGTGAGTCAAAATTCTTGGGATGAATCATAAACACTACATTGTGATATGATGGAAAGAAAAGTCAATTTTCGATTGATTTACTCATTATGAGTTTTGTTTAACATTACTTCCCTTCTAATTCAATGTGATGATCATTCAGTGTAGTATTTGATTGTTTTTCCAGTATAATAAACGATATTCTTGTATTCACTTGACATGAACTATGCTCAGTAAGTGGTTTGTTACAACTGAGTATGTGATTTAATCCTAATTATTAATCAAAATGGGTGTACAATCAATATATAAACCAGTGTATTTTAGACTAATATGATTCGTCGGCGTCATAGTGTTTTGGAGCACACTAATTGATTTATTTCCAGTAGATCAGGGCAAAATTAATGAATAGAGAAGACACCAGAATATTCCTGTTCAGATTGTTTACATGAACTAGCGATTTTACTATATTAATTTATCCTATTCGGAGTTTTGAAAAACATTTTCATTTACTTGCTATTCGTTCTCTGATTTCCAACCTAGTGGAGTGAAATATTACGTTCAGAGAATACTAGCAGGTAGAAAATAGAACACATGGAACAATGTCAAACTGTGTGCACTCGTCCCAACCATTTAGAAGCAATTCTCACTTCAATATCTGAAGTGATATACGGTCGTGGAATAGTGGGTAGTTCCTTAGCCCCTAAATTCATAAGCCTGGTAAAATTATTTGTAAAATTTATAAAGTAAAACACAGAAAATACGAAACAAAAATGACCAAATGCATCTAGAATGTTGACTTACATTTTACCACATACAACTACTGCTAGTGAATGGATGATGGTTATGAATCTTATAGTTACAAAAGCAGTAACGATTACTTACTTACGCCTGCTGCCTCTCGTGATAAAGCATAGGCCACCCACCAGCACTCTCCATCCAACTCTGTTCTGGGCAATCCTTTCCAGTAGTTTACAGTTACTATTCATCCTCTTCATATCTGCTTTCAATTCTCAGTGCAATGTGTTCTTCGACCTTCCTCTTTTCCATTTGCCTTCAGGATTCCAAGTTAGGGCTTGCTTCGAGATGCAATTTGGTGTTTTTTACAATATATATCATATCCGCTTTAACTGTCCCCTCCTAATTCCCTCTTCAGTTGGGAGTTGATTTGTTCTCTCCTACAGTAGGCTGTTGCTGATGATATTCGACCAACGGACATTCAGGAACTTGAGTAGAAAATTGTTTATAAATACCTGTACCTTTCTAATAATTGTTGTTGTAGTTATCCAAGTTTCAGCTCCATACAGTAGGACTGTCTCGACGTTCGTATTGAAGATTCTCACTCTGATATTGGTTGACAGTCGTTTTGAGTCCCTTTTGTTCTTCAACTGTAAGAATGCTGCCCCTACTTTGACAATCCTTGCCCTTACGTCTGCATCAGATCCTCCACGTCCATCGATGAAACTACCCAGATACGTGAAAGATTCTGCATTTTCCAGAGCTTCTCCATCAAGTGTGCTTGGTTTGGTGTTCACCGTACTGTACTTGAGGATCTTGCTTTTTCCTTTGTGTGCAGAGGCTGCTGTTACACTGGCAGTCTTCACCTGCATTTGTTGTCGTGCGTGGAATAGAAGGGCCAAGTCATCTCCGAAATACAAATCTTCTAATTGATTCCGAGCGATCCATTGTATTCAGTGTGTCCTCTTCAATGCCGACGTTTTCATAATCCAGTCAACCACCAGAAAAGAGTGGGGGAGAGTAGACAGCCTTGTTTGACTCCGGTCCTTACTTAGAATGCATCTCTCAACTGTCCTCCATGTACCACCTTGCAGTGTAGTTCGTTGTATGAATTCCGGATGGTGTTGACAATTTTCCCAGCTACTAACACCATAGTGTCGAACAAGTTCCCATAGGATCCTCCTGTTCACACTGTCAAACACCTCATAGTCCATGAAGTTGATGTATAGTGACGAGTTCCACTCGACCGACTGTTCAACAATGATCCGTAGTATCGCAGTTCGGTCTGTGCATGACCGATCCTTGCGGAATCCAGCCTGTTGATCTCGAAGCTGGACGTTACTGAGTCGTTCATCTGGTTCGGTAACACTCTGTTGAAGACTTCCTGGTACTGATAGTAGTGTGATGTTTCTGTAGTTCTCACATTTGCTCAGATAGAAGGGTCAAGTCATCGCCGAAGTACAAATCGTCTAGGTGAATCCAAGCTGTCCACTGTATTTTGTACTCCTCTTGAGACCTGAATTTTTTATAATCCAGTCAATCATCAGACGAAAAAGTAGATATAAGCATGCTTCTTTGATACCGGTCTTCAGTTGGAATGCAGTACGGTTTAACATATACTTCATCGAACACTACTACCTCATTCTCACTACTTTACACTTTCCACTACACTGACAAGTCAGTGGGAAAAAAGTAAGCACATGTTCAAAAATGTAGAAATCTTACTGCTCCAGCTTTTGCTTCCACAACTTCAGTACCAGCCTCCTGAATACGTTTGGTAATTTTTTCTCTTTCATCCTATAATTTAGAAAAGTTAATGTAAACACCATGATAATTTACCTATGAATATTTATGAAACTTTTTTTGAACTTATCAGTTACATAATATTTACAAGCGGAAATAGTTGGTAAGCTGACGGACTTACAACTTTCCACGGCAAAATAGTTTGCTTTTGGTTTCTTACACAATAATGTTAACACTATTTACGAAGTTCCGGAGACAATACAAATACACGGGTATATAAAGAAATAATTCGATTCTTGCAATCGAATGTTTGCTTTAAACTGTTTCCAGATACTTATATAATAAGACAAAATGTAAGTATCATGGGCATCGTACAAGGAATATAAATACTCTAATACAAAGCAGCTTTACGACGGTCTGACAGGTAGTCTTGGTGGGATGGAAAAAGCGAAACTAAACTTCATTTAAACATAGTGAACATTTAAGTTATGTTACGGATATTTCAGACCCTGTTGCGATAGTTTGACTACAGAAACCCAAGTACGACAGTTCGGCAAAAGCACTCTTACTCTACACTTGTGAAACAGCCACTTCAAGCAGACGTGCAGTGACTGAGTTTAGTTTTTCACTGTCATCGTCGAATTTTCCGGATTTGTTAGAACATTATATAACTGATTTTGAACTCACGTGACTTTTATCCAACAGATTTCGCCCACAGAAACAAGTTTCGAGGACTTGGAAATGACTTAAATAATGAACCTAGAGTCTTATGTCTGGCATTACAAGTTGATGCTTAAACTGAACAGAGGTTTAGGACTAGTCAGTCTATGGTACGGAGCGAATGATAGTCGTATGTAGGCGCTGCAATTTGTTCGTCCATCATGGGTCTCTTAAAATGTAAACTGAGGTCAAGTAGTTAGCAGTCTTAATAGTTCAAAACAAAAATCAGTAGAAATCCTAACGAGAAGAATGTGAATCATATTGGCTCTTCTGTTATTCAGACTTATCTCTTATTTTTCTACCAGCTACTACATTATCTATTCCTCTCACTATTCACTCATGAAACTTATTTTTCATATTGTGCACCCTATGATATCTTTGTATAAAGCTCTTGTTTAAAATAAAATTACACATAAAAGTAGTGTACTCTACCTGTGGAAATGATACATGGGGACTGCATTGAGATATTACAGGAAGAATTGTAATACCTGAGTGCCCGCCAATAACGGGGCAAGAAACCTTTCGCACGGCAAGATCCTAAAGACAAATATTAGGAAGCCTGCAAAAAACGAACATACTTTTGCCTGAGCAATAAAGGTATTCGATCGAACAACATCAAGAGTCGTAACTCCAAACAGACGCTTGGGATCATAAACGTTATGGCGTTTTAAAATCTCAGCTGCAATTGGTACAGTGCTATTGACAGGATTTGTGATTATGCATATCATTGCTTTCGGGCAATTTTTAGCGCACGAGTCAATAAGTTCTGCAACAATAGATGCGTTGGTATTGAACAAATCATCGCGCGTCATCCCTTAAGAGAAAAGAAAGTGTGCGATATGGAAGAATAATTTGTGCGAAAATTTGAATATCAGACTCCATTAATATAACTAGTAAATTATGATCGACAGCCGACACTCTAAACCCAATTAAAGGAGTCTAAACCCGGAAACTAAACGTAGGTTACACCTATGTGAAGCCGTGAATGCAGAGTCCACCCACTGAATTCATGGGTCTTCCACAATTGCAACTTATTTATGAAGTTTCCTTCAGAATACTGTTCTTGTTATGCGAAAATCCTCAGAGACCGCAGAACTAGTCTACTAAATGACCAATTATTTACACATGCTGCATAGATAACTTTTGGATTTGAACAGATATTTAGCAAACAATGTGTGAATTAACAGTCTAGTCTGAAATAAATTAGTAAAATCCAATTATCGCTATATATTAGTCAGCAAACCATATTAGGAACTGTCAACTTACCGAACTAGGAGAGGTGGATAGAGAAAAGATTACAAAAGATTAGTTGAACGAAACTGCCTCTCATAAGTATAGCGCCGCAGATACATAAATAACAATCGCCTTCGCCATTTTTTGTTGGGCATAAAAGTTTAGTTATGTTTGGTCAATACTTAGGTTTCCTCAAAAGATTGTAGTTAGTAAAATTTAGATTGCGAATAAACAAGTAATAAGAATGACTAAAATAGAAAAATCGGCAAGTTTTGGTTGAAAACTTATGTTACTTATCAATGAAATAAATTGTCTCAAACAACACTGTCCCTAAGTTGGGATGGAATTCAGTATAAATTGGAGTACCCAGTCATATACCACAACCCTTATGTGAGGGTTCATTGTATCATCTTGTTGCTTAAACTGAATTCGGTACAAGGTAAATCGAACCAGTTGATTTTTGAGTCACTACCCCCAACGTTTCTTTTATAACTTATTTCTGTATCAGTATTCGACTGGGCTAAAAATTTGGCGAGACCATAATTCATGTACGAACCAATCGGATTCACGACAACAGGTCCTGAATTTTGGCGCAAGCTTAATTTGCCTATTTGGCTAAATAGAGTTTTGGCATTAGAGCTGATGTCTGTTCGTGATGATAACTCTAAATCTAATTCCTAAACTTGATTATCAACTGTAAATATTTATCCTAATTCCTCACTGGTTCATAACCCTGATTTGGTCGTAGTATGTACGTGGACATTTTCAAGGCTTTTTAGAGTAGTCCAATGGTCGTCCATAAATTATAATCTCGAGACTATAATTTCACGGTGATCACCATGACGAAATAAGGAACACGGCGTTTCGACTAAAATCGGTTGTGGTACAATTTCTTCAGATCACACAATTGTCCGTTTTGAACCACTAAACCTTACCCAAACTTTAGTCTGCGAGGAAAGACCAGTCAGCTTACCAGGCTTACGAGGCATTCCCGCGGGAATAATAACAACATTTGCACCAGAAAGACATTCTGCAAGCTCTCCTGGTCCAAGATGTGCAGTCACCTGAGCTTGAGTTTCAATATGGCTGAGGTCAGCGGCAACACCTTTTACATGAGCAATATCATACAGTGAAAGCTGAGAAATCAAGGGTGATTGTTTCAAGAGCAGTGATAGAGGTTGACCTATACCACCGCTAGCGCCTAATACGGCAACTTTTGGAGAATGCTATGGAACAAAGCATATTACCCGTAGGTGAAAAAACCTACCTTTGAAGAGGTTAAAAAGCTTCTAAAACTAATCCCGAATCGGAAAACATTGGCACCTCTTGAAAACATCTCAAAGTAATGCGCCTAGAACAGCAGATGGAGTCCGACCGAAGAGTCAAACAAACTGGACCGGTCAAGGTCAACAGCTACAAAAACATCATATGTAACGCATTCAAAACCTTAAGCTATCGACTTATGTCCTAATCTTACTGTGAGATTATCAACTTCTTTCATTACCATAGTTAATGCCGTTTTCAATGCTCGCTGAGTCGTCTAATTTTTTTATCTTCTCTCAACATCTATACAACTTTCTACATTATACTAACACAACATAGCTCTATGCTAGAATCATGAAAACTAGAGTGTGAAAGTTACGCACATATGAATTGCTACTAATTAGTTCTTCTACTGAAGTATATCGAGAATCAACACAAATGTCAAGCAGATAAGTTTCTATGTTACGTTCATTTAATATCTACAGCATTTGTAGTAGTCTATCGAAAATCGCTTGATTACCTACTATGTGTGTCTTTAGGTTAGGTGATGTAGCGGTAAATAAATCCCCAAAATAAATATCTCTGTAAGTTTTCGACATTGGATGCTGACCAGATTAATTTTAGTGGAATCACCTAGCTGAAGGCGCTCGGTCATGCATCCGCACCAGATCACGTGTGGTAACACTGTGCTCAACGTCTACCGCAATCGCTAGCCAGATTAGATCAGACAATCCCGATATATTGGTTATCGCCAAATACACTCTTCCAACCCCCTCGATTCTGTCTTTTGATTTCTCTTGGTGCGTACGAATCATATTAGGTGTTGCTGGTAAAAGCGTTGTCAAACACTGAATACCTGTGCCATCTTCATTGGTGAGCCCGACGTGATCTGGCACACCTAATTGCAACTGTGAGTCTGTTCCTTTATGGGATTTTCATATATTATTGCCTTACTTTTTTTAATTTTTATACATTGTGATATTTTTTCCCGTGTCTCAGGATATCTATATTTTTCCCTCGTATTCTCGTACTTAATATTCCCCTATGACCGAACAGACTCCTAAGATAAATCTCCTCCTAGCCCAAATGAGTTCTTCAGAAATCACAAACATCATGTTGCAGACTCTCACGATAAAACGGGTCGGTATGGATAGTGGTGTGCATTCTACATGAGATCTGATAGATTAGGTAGTCACATCATGGCAAATCTACGAGTATGGAATAGGTCTGCTATTCGAGTAGCGTAGGAAACTGTACAAAGCGCTAACCTTGACTACAACTCTGCAAAATAGTAAGGGCCATACAAAGGGATTCTGTAGGCTGGTAAACTGTGAAATTTACCCTGGCATTAAAAAGGGGACTATCTATATGTCACAAACCCAGTCTGTCAATCATGACTTGATGCTTATCAGGTTGAGCTTATCAAAGAGGCACGTATGATCAATCCCATCAAAAGCTTTAGCGAAATGAAAGTGTAACGCATCCACCTTCCCCTTGTGATCGAGGATGGTGGTTCATTTACCTACTCCACTCAGATTGCTGATGTTAGAGTTGTTCTTTTTTGGGACAGACTGATTTGTAATGTATTGAAATGTGGGCAGTAAAAAGCTACGGTAATTGTCAAAATTGAATTAAGCATAGGATTGACAACTCACCTCCAATACTTTGTTCTTCAATGCTGATACATCCAAAAGTTTAGAATTCCGACGTTTGTTGCCAGAAAGATGTTTTAGTTTGGTTTTATGAATAGGATAGAAACGTATGACGAAGTCACCACGTTTTCAAAAGGGATCATGGATTGTAAACGTGTGGTCTAGGCTAGAAAATGTTTGATTATTTTTTCAAATCAGGTATAATCGAATAATCCTAATTTCTCAATGAGATTGATGAGTCGAGCTATGGCATGCATGTTTTTTTGGGAAAGTTGACTTTAAAACGATCAAAATCTTTTAAGATTGACATGCAACTTTGGGGCAAGTCGGCCGAAGCATTCTCACCCAATATCCTGCCGATGTTGGGCAGTTTATTCATTTTCACCTGATCATCTAACAGAAGAGACAGTGGTGTACAGTGAGATAAAGATCTTGTCTGGGTATGTGCACATTAATGGGAGCTCTTTGAGGATCATCTTGTTAATCTCCTGGCGGGAAAAACAATTTGGAAGATTTGCAGCTCCTGTAAATGGCAATAAACAACAAAACGTTCAAGTTATTTCAGTAATAATGAACAAAATAGGCGATCTGGCGTCAATTTTTGTAGACTATATGTCTATCTTCTACATTTTATTGCAATAAATTTGGCATTTTCCTGTTGCTTCCTCCGAATATCCGAGGTTTTCAAGTGTGTCTTGGTCGCATTTATCAAAACGAGTCCTGACAATGTAATATTTATCGTTAACTATTCCTTCTTTTGACTGTTGCTATTGTAGTTTTCATCAATATAAATCAGTCCTGGATATTTACGGTACAGACACATCTGGTGGCGACTGCAAAGATAGGTATTGTGACGCTACAACTGTCGTCATAATACTTACTCAATTCTTGATAACAAAAACTTCCAGCCGTGCGCCACAACTTGAAAAATTGTGTGCTTATCGACGGCAACTCTCGTATTCATAGGTTTGACACCAGGGATGGCGGCTTCCTTGCCAGTGTGGGAAATTACATGTTCTATTATAGCGTCAGAAAATCAAGATTACGAACGAAGTGGTATCAAGTTCACCTTTGATGATGATTTTCATGTTCGTCTACCACAAACCACACACGAACTATCAAATGGATGATCGTGAACCATCCTGAAATATTTAATAGAATATCCATTACGATCCAAAGAAACATAGACGTTGAATTATGATGGTACCTACTAGTTAGGGCTCTAAATGTTTATCGTCGATACGTCTTCCTCGGGGCTTTCGCTCAACAAAAGTACGTTTCAACACGACAAACTTATATTTCCTTCATACGTCTCAACTACTATTACTCTTCACATGCACGTAGTGAGTGTGCATAATCTACAAAGCCATGTGACGACGCTTATATTAAGTACTGAAATTCATTTGGTTCATTCTGAAAGTCGTCCCCAAGCGAAAATGTTTGTTCAGTACAGGCCGTATAAACTGATCATTTATATTAACTAAGACATCCCCTAAACTGCGGGTTTGACCAATAGACCTGGACACTGTTCTTCTGACTGAAAATATTGACAATATAAATAAATAGTCCTTGGAAATGCCTGCCATCATATTTATCGGTATTGAGTTATTTTGCGAATATAATGCAATGTGCAACAAAATGAATACAATGGGGTTTTTTGGAAGGACATTTATGAAAAAATGTAGTGTTTGCACTTAAAAAGGAGACAAACTGTTAATGGTTCTCAACCGCTATTCAATGTTTTCGGGAATCAACCGACAAATTGGTCATTCTGAAACAACGCAATCATGCTAGCTAATACACCCTCAATCAACTTCAAGCATTCAAATATCGGAATGTCGGATCTGTGCAAAACTACTCAAGATCGCGGAAACAAGAATTAAGCCAATTCAGCTTGAACATGAATTTCCATTCAACTCGATATAAGTCGGCTGTTGGGAGAGTATTACTGCAGAGTATCTAGAATCATGTCTTAAATTTCCTTTCAGATATTCGAATGATAATCAACTCATCGTTCAATTGTTTTTATCACAATAATATTAACTGTCAATACGATACTCAAGAAGTTTAGCAAACCACCCGTCGACACAACTCGTGCAAAACTTATTCGGAACATTTTCGAAGTTCGATCAACAAAAGTAAAACTTTCCTGTGCAGTTTGAGACAGTGGGTGAGGTGGTAGTGATAATAATTCATTCTTAAATAGCAGTATATTACACGCCGCATGTTCATCTACAGGTAAGGTCAAAAACTCACAAACGATACAAGGTTTGCCGTCACAAATTACTCGGTTGCGTTGATATGTTACAAGACGGGCCGATCGTTAATACGGGTTTATAAATTTGGATACATAAAAATAAATCTAGAATGTCCAGTGTAAAAGTTGGTGAGCTTTATTGATGCTGTTTTGGGGTAAGCAACACGTGCTCAAAAATTGATGCAGACAAACTTCAAAGCTGTTCGAAGAAACCACGTTATGTGGCCAATAAACAATCGTATAACTAAATAATAATATAAAATGCTTCAGAATTCTTGATAGTAACCTTCAAACAACGGGTTTATCAGTCTTGTGGTATAAACGGCTATATATATTTCAGAAATACTGGAGGTATCAATCAAGGCGCAGGATGAAGTCATATGTTTTGAGATGGTGGAGAAGATTTGTAGCTCAGAGTAGCTCAGAGAACAAAACTCCACCGAAGTCATATGTTTCATACATGTTTTCTACGGTTCATCACAATGGTGTTGAAAAAGAGAATAGAGGTAAGAAGGATGAAAAGCAGAATAAACAACACCCCTGACTGGTGAAGTTGAGTCATTTGAGGAGAGATTTAGCTATAATTACTTACCCTAGTTTTCTTTCAGCAGAATAATGGTTCCTAGTTTGTATTTAAATAAGTTAAAGAAAACAAGTCAGTTGCTCCGTAGCGAATGGATAAAGAATTGTATAGATAGAGATTATTAACGTCTGAATATTTATAATTACGCCCCCGAATACCCTGATACGAGCGGGAGATGGAAGACTCAACTCTCCCTCTTGAAATGTTCTCACATGGCCATGCGTATATAGTCTCTACCAGGGAAGTCCTACTCACTACCTTCTCGTGGCATTACTGTTGTTTACGAAAGTGAGAGGACGAAAAGTGAATGACCGGCGCTTTAACCGGGTTGGTGGACATAAAGAGTTCACCTAGGGGAGTTGGAGAACCCTGATTCCAAACCAATGGTGCACATGGGCTCCAGTATCCCGAGGGTATAATGGGCTTATGAATCAATCATTGTTCACCGGCTACTATGGGACTGCGTCTCCTTACCATGCACCACCGCCTTGTGGATTAGACCTTTATGTTAAAGGCTCCGAGTGTCGCCCGCTAAGAAAACTACTTGCTACGGTATGGGGACTTCTGAACAGGGTTATAGC